TCCATCCATCGATTCATTCATTCATTCATTCATTCATTCATTCATTCATTCATTCATTCATTCATTCAATATGGCTGCTCATATCACCATAGCAACTCTGGGCAGCTAACAATATTAAAAACAAAATACATATAGCAACAATATAAATCATCATAAACCTCATTATGTAAAACAGCAACCAAAGTAAACCAATAAGTCACAAACAAGCAACTTCACAGGCTCCAATTAACAGTCTGATATTTGCATGCCCAGGAGTACATCTGAGTCTTCAAGGATGTGCAAAAAGCCAGCACATTTGGGGCCATTCTAATCTTGGGGAGGATGGTATTCCAAAGGGCAGGCACTGGTAAGACTAGAACTTGGGAAATTGTTTTTCCTCCTAAAATTTTAATTGTAACTCTTAGTGTAATGACTGAAGAATCTTAGTGTACACTACTGCCCATCAGTTTTATCACTAATGCTTTACCTGAGATGCAAATGTGGTACTTAAAACATAGTTAAATGTTTCATTTTGGCATCATTGTGGTTAGAAATAGATATCTATCTACTTAAAATGTTACACATTGGAAAGGGGACAACTTCACAGAACTGTATTTGCCTACTAGCTGTATATTCTATATGCATTTGAACCTCAGTCATTACCAAAGTCATTCTGACTTCATGTTAGGTATATACTACTCATAGTCATGTTTTGAGATGGGTGGCTATATGTGTGTGTGTGTGTGTGTGTGTGTGTGTATATATATATATAAATGGAATCCATGATAATGAAACTCTACAATTCTTAATCATGCTGTTTTAGGAACTGAAAGTTTAGATACTACAAAAATGTGTACCCTGTTCTGGCACACAGTGGCTTGTCTGAAGAAATTACCTAAAGGACTCTATGAAGTATCCTCAAAGACTTCAAGAATTTCAACTAGGAACAAACCAAACACATTTCAGTAACACCTGAGTTCCTTTCTCAAAACACTGGGAAAAAAACAACCTTCCCAAAGTGGACTCTTGAATACACTAGTGGGTAACCTGGCATGTTGAAAAGTCATTGCATATAGGAAAGG